TTCTGTAACAAAACCCTCACGGGGAATAAGGAGGTCATGCTGGGAAAAAGGAGCGTAGGTTTAGAAAAGCCTCTCACTTGGCTGCTGGGGACTCTTACTAATGATCGGTTACCTGCTGTTTTGTTCAAGGAGCAACCATGCAGGAACCCACCATACCCAGACACAGAGGATAAGCTTTTCTCAATGGGGTTCTGAGAGTCTCCATATGATTTAAATTAACCTTAATTAGTAATGGTTTAAGAGCCTATTGGAAATGGCACTGTCTGTGCATTGTGTACATACTCATTCAAGTACACTATAAATCCTGCCTACATTTATATTGTACTTTGTGCATGTTAATATGTAGCCAGTGTGTATATATCCTTAGACATATGCTTTATCAATAAAAATGTCAGGCTTCAAGTCATTTTGAAGTTAATGTGTATTTGGTCTTAAGATGAGTTTGTTCTGAATGTAGGATCAGGGTCAGGTATAACTTCTCTCAACACTTCATCTCTCTGTACAACTACAACACTGATTTTCCCCCCAGCTATGGTGATAACATTACCCTTGGGTTGGGGATGTGTCTTACAAAAATTTTAGCATTTCTTTTTGAACAAAAACTAAGAGCAAAGCTTGGGCTCTTACTGCAGGTGCTTTCAAGAATTGGTTAAAATTAACACGTCAGAAAAGGTCTTAAAACACATAATCCTTGAGTCTCCTGTGTATGTATTCATGCAAGCCTAGAAATACCAGAATTTGAAGCTAAATAGTTTAATATGTATGTTTTATTCTTGGTGGGTAGGTATGTTGATTAGTTATACCTATGAAATAGGCTTACTAGTCAGTTTGTGGGAAGAGGAGGGTTTGTGCTGGGAAGTAGCATTACAAGGACTCATACTCATAGACTTTAAGGTCAGAAGGGATCATTATGATCATCTAGTCTAGTGCAGGCCACAGAATCTCACCCACCCCTCTTAGAATAATCCTCTCACCTATGTCTCAGATATTGAAGCCTTCAAATACTTTGAAGACCCCAAGATGCAGAGAATCCTCCAGCTGTGATCTGTGCCCCATGCTACAGAGGAAGGCGAAAAACCTCCAGGGCCTCGGCCAATCTACCCTGGAGGAAAATTCCTTCCCGACCCCAAATATGGTGATCAGCTAAACCCTGAGCATGTGGGCAAGACTCATCAGCCAGACACCCAGAAAGTTCTCTATAGTAACTCCTAGCATCCCTCCATTGACCTATTTCCCACTGATAATGAATGGTCAATTAGTTACCAAGATCATGTTATCTCATCAAACCATCCCCTTATCATAGAACTGGAAGAGACACCAGGTCATCAAGTCCAGCCCCCTGCTCTAGGCAGAACAACTGGAGCTACATCACCAGGCACAAAAGAAGAAACATTCGCCCCCAGGGGCCTAGCTTCAGTCCATACGCTGCAGTTTGCTACTTCAGAGGATTTCACCAAGGAGGTCACCGAGATTCCCTGTAATGTTTCTCTCCTGAGTTTGCAAATGCTAAATGATGGAAGCGGGGGCACTTACACGCTGCGAGGCCACGTGAGAGGGGAACAAGCATGTTGGAGGCTGCCCGCGTGAAGGAGCTGCAGCCCAATGAGCAATTGGACAGAAGTGGCATTTGGGCAGGGCACGAGCCAGAGGGTTTGCTACCCGACCGGCTTCTGCTAACGGGTTTGCAAATAGTCCCCCGCAGGAGACGGGCTGCAGTGTAGCGGGGAGCGTCTCGCGGGCCCGCTGCGGCCACAGGACGGGCCTGGCTTCTGCGCATGTGCCCCTTTGGCTCCCTCCCCCGTGAGCAGCCCCGCGCGTGGCCGATAGGTGACTGTGGCGGGCGCCTGATCAAAACGTTACCTCTGCGGGGGAGGGGAAAGGCCCCCGCTGCCCGCCTGGGGGCGTGGCCAGCGGGCGGCGGCGACAGGCGCTGCC